TTATATGTGTCTGTCGGGAGGGGCCGGGGCGCGCTAAAGATTCACTGGGGAGCCAAAGGGGCGCCAGCCGGCAGAAAAAGTTTGGGAACCACTGTTATAGAGTGTTCGTGGGTGTGTTTGTAGCGCGATGCTGTTGTAAATTAGCAAAATTACGAGTTTTATTTCGATAAATTGTTCTTTTTCCATTCACCCTGGCAATGTTTAGGAAGTTTACGCCATTTTCACCTTTCGTCATTAGTAGTTGTCTTCAGGGCGATGCTCAATGCCGGTTAGTTAGTTTAAATCTGGGTTTTTTGAATAAGTTTCTTTGTAATAATCTTAATAATTGTTACATTATATTAAATTTTTTTGTTCGTTTCCTAAATGTCAATTTTATTATATTTTAGATTTACTCCTCAACATTTGTTAACGTTGCCATGGGTATTATTAACACTATTATTCTTGCACGTGAGATATATTTCCCAATACCATATTATTGTAAATTTCCACTGAAATAAAAGCCATATCCAGTCACTTTTCATTTCCAATCTGGCTTCCTGTGTTGGATAATGACTGGCAGTTACCCCAAGGGTGATGGATGGGCGGATACGGAACGTAATTACACAATGTTGTAAAAAATCGATCAGATTATGAAATGTAATTTATTTTTCAACTTGCTCAATTTAAGAGCGATATGGAATGCATTTTTCTATTATATTAGAAAATTTGCCTTTTTTGTTACAGTGAAGCTTGAAATTATGTTTACATTTAAATATTATTTTGGTCAAGAGTTCATCAGATTGCCGTATAGTGACTGACGGTTTGATAGCGAACTTGTATAGATAGGTGATTACAATCCCTGAGAATTTTCTGTACTGCGCAACTTGTAATCTAACTCATACGCCTTCTAGATAAGCTCGGCCATTAAAACACAGCAAAAAAATAAGGGGAAATAGCGAAATTAAACAAAATCTAATCGAAAAATATATCACAAACAAATTGTTTACATGTAACACATGTACAACTTTTAGTTATTAGAATCTTTCACGTGAATCATCAGGGCAATTTTGATGAAAATATTTTTGTTACCCCGGTATAACACTTCAGCTGCATCATGGATACCGGTTTCCAAAAGTATTTGCATCTTATATATAGTTAGCAGTGAGTTGCGAGTTCAAGCCCGCAACAAGCTGTGGATGTTCTGCGATGTTAAGAATCGGCGACAGGCCTACGGCCTAATAAACGCTGAAACCGCTATTATTATTATTGTTATTATTATTATTATTATAGGTGCATCCAAATAAAAGGGTGTTTTTTTAATTATATGTTTTTTGGGGTGTAGATTAGGAATCTGAAATCCGTTTTTGGCGGTCGGCATCAGAAATTTTTAATGGAACCTGTTCCTAACTGGACCTAACCTGCGAGGTTTTCGTTGATTGGCTAGTTTTTTCCGGCCGCCGGACGGACTCCAAACATAGAAAAAAAACTATTGGCTAGGTTTTTCCGGCCGCCGGACGGACTCCAAACATAGAAAAAACCTATTGGCTAGTTTTTTCCGGCCGCCGGACGGACTCCAAACATAGAAAAAACCTAGCCGATCAACGAAAACCTCGCAGGTTAGGTCCAGTTAGGAACAGGTTCCATTAAAAATTTCCGATGCCGACCTTCAAAAACGGATTTCAGATTCTTAATCTACACCCCAAAAAACATATAATTAAAAAAACACCCTTTTTTTTGGATGCACTTTCTAAAGTTTTTTTTTTTAAGTAATACCCAAATTGTTTACATGTAACACATGTACAACTTTTAGTTATTAGGATCTTTCATTTGAATCGTCAGGGCAATTTGATGAAAATATTTTTTTTGCCCCGGTTTGTACTTCAACTGCATCATGGATACCGGTTTCCAAAAGTATTTGCATCTTATATATAGTTTAGGCTAATTCGATCTAACTCCTATACATGCACAAGACAATCTTTTACAGCATCATGCCCTTCATGAACCAGGATCATATGTCAAGAAATGCCGGTTGTTTACTAGGGAATACCGTGATAACCTAGTCAATCACTATAGAATTAGGTTAAAAAAATAGCTGTGTGATCTATTCAGATCACAACACTTCATCTTGCAGCTACTGATAAGCGTTAAGGTCAGAGAAGCAGTATGGCACTGCCACGGTAAGCCTCATCGTCCGTATTGCCACTATCATTCAAGGCCAAAACCATTCCTATCTTGAGTCTATGTCATTGCCGATGAAAGTGTTATTTTAACCAAATTTCAAAAACCTGTAAAAATAAAACCCTGTCTCCTTAGTCTGCTTAAAACGCAAGTTACCAAGGAATTTAAAAGCAAAGAGAACGCCAAGTAAATTCACCATATCGATATTGGAAATGTTTCGGAGTCTAGCTCCATCGTCAGTTTGAAAATCATGAAAATAAAAACAATCATCGTAATTCAAATTCCAAAGTCGGACATTTAAACCTAAAATTGACAAATAAGAGAGAAATCAACACTAAAATCTAAAACAAACACTCGCGGAGCATTAGAAAATATAAAAGCTTGAAAATAAATGCCTAGCGATTCACTATTTCAAGAGGATAGGAACTGTGTGTATTACTGAGATATAGTTTTCATATGAAGATATGTAGTGATTGTGATGATTGTTTTCATTTTTCAAGATTTTCGACCTGACGATGCAGCTAGACTCCGAAACGTTTTCAATAAAACCTTGTTACGTACTAAGAGCTTTAATTCATCTCATGTCATTTCCTTTCCTTCTTAATATTCCTGGCCACTCTGTGCCACATCTTGTATTCTCCTCGCCTTCCTAATGGTACAGCGTAATATCTGTACTTATTAACATTTATAAGTGACATCCATTCTCGAAAACAACTTGGCTTATCTCTACTACTCTACTCGAGATCCAGTGCATCATGTAATAGACATTGGTATAGTTTATACCCTGCACGTTAGAACATTTGCATGACTTATCATCTACAAAATGCTGGCGCCAATAGAAATTTGTATAATAAAACTCTCTTTCTCTACTACCAATGATTTAATTTGTGAAAGAAGCTTCGTAGGATATTTTCTTACATCGTGTATAATTTATTCTATTTTGTTCGGACCCAGATATTTATAGTTTAATAAATCTTACAAAAATCCTAACTGAAAAACCCTACTCATCTTCGCAAGTGGTGATAAGCTGACCAGATATTTCCTACACGTATCTGCGTTGTATGATCCAGGCTTCTCCAGAGCAACAATATGTTGGAGTACCCAGCCCGATTCAAGAGGCTTCAATTGCCATAAGCGGTCCCGCTATCACAACTTTATCCGACGTCGTCACGACAACACGTTTAACGATTTGGTCCGCCGAACCTTGCTTCTTACATGTTTTTTTTTTGGCGATGATAATTAAGGTGCAAGCTATAACTCCTTATAGGTCGTTGTGTTCTTAGTTCGTGATCGTATCTGTCTGGGAATTTCAGTTGATGAGTTTACTCCCGTCACTTTTAAAAGGCCAGACAGTACTGGAATCTCTTATTGGATAGTAAATTTGTTTTATCTTGTGTTCGTGCAACCTTAAGAACTCCAATGAACTTCACTGCAACCCCGAGTTCTTACTGCATCGTTACTGAACTCGGGGTTTCAGACTGCATCACACTGGGGAAAAATTCACTGCATCGTTACTAGGGTTGCTTAGTCGAACATGGCTCAATATTTTACAGTGGTTAAAGGTTTTTACGTTCCTAAAACCGTTCTACTTTAACCGATTTATGAACCTAAACCTGGTATTTCATCTTTCAGCTCTGTTTACTCGTAATAAAGTCCTTTAATTATTAGATTTTCTGTAGTTTAACGAGATTACTGAAAAGTGCTCAACAGCTTATTAGATTCTAAAACGCCAAGAAATACTTTAATGTCCAGCTGCTTGGGAAATAGTCACCCACATTTTGCGACGCTGACATGGTTCAATTTCAACCTCGACATGGTTCAATTTCAACCTCGACATGGTTCAATTTCAACCTCGACTTCCGCTGATTTATATATTGTCTATGCATCGGGTTTGATAGCGATGACAATTGTTGACTGGCGTTGACTTTTTCAACGCAGGATTCTACTGAAACATATGCGCGATCGTTGTCTCAACGCTATATCCTCATGGTGACCCAAATAGGCATATTAATTGCTTCTAGTTTCTTTTCTCGTGTGTCATATATTATGTCATATTTTCTCGTGTTTCATATCTGAAATAAAGACTATTGAATCTACGATCGAATTCAGCAGGAGCGTGACTATGCGAGGTGTGCACTCGTATGACAATTCCTTCATTAGATGGCATTCTTTTTCTGACATTCAATTTCATGAGGTTGAACGCAAATGAAAAAAATATAACTCAGTACTCACTGCAGTGAGTGACAGAGAGCGCATTTTCTCGTCGACGAAAACTTGAGGTCACGGACAGACGGATGGACAGACGGACAGACAGACAGACGGGCATGGCGAGCACAATAGCGAATTTTTTCCATAAATAAGAAAATGCGCTAAAAAGTTGCGCGGAAATGAGAGAAACGAATTACCGCAAAACGCATGAATGCTATTTTTTGTGTACGTGTTTGATATAGCAAAGGTATTGCTTAGCCCCGGTAATAAAATGTTGGGATGGCCATGTCAGCGAACTGGGGACTCTAAGCTTACATTACTACGTTAATAAAATATAAATTCTGGAGGATAAAAGTTTACGAAAATATAGATGATTGAATTTAATACTGTAAATAATTTAGAAGTAAAATCGTTTTAAATTATAAAGAGAATGAGTAATAGCTTTCCTTTCTTTCTTCTAAGAAGAATGAGCTACTCTATATGCTTTCTATCATGTAACGCAGATAAGCCATTGCACGTAAGATTTTTCACACATATATCGTATGTGAGCCATTCGGCTAAGTTCGATTGCCTAGATGAACATAGAGGAATTATTGTTAAACAAACGATAATAATTCTCACTAAATTTGTGGCAGCATTTGAGGTCGGCTCATTCATGGAGGGGCCAGGGTCGTCCCCGTATGAGTGGGCCAAGTTCTTCTTCGAAGACAACCAGTGGCCCAGAGATCCTCCCGACAGTAAACCTTTTGCCAGAATTTTCCGGGTTAGTTTTAGCAGGCGGTAAATTTTTTAGCCTTTTGATTTAATAGCCTATTAGGAAAATGAGGCTAAAGCCAAATTCTTGAATGCTATTAGATCCGTTCACTCAACTTCCTTAGCAAGAAATGCCTCTTATTCATTGCGAAACTGTGAAGTCTCTTAAGCTGATAATTTTAGATGGAGCCGCTCATATGGCGGAACATTTCAATTTCCTACCTTGTCAAATTCAATTTCCAATTAAAAATTTTTAGTGAGCGGATGCGAAAATACCGCCGTTGTAATACATGCATAATTAATGTGATGCTCAAGAACAACTCATCGACGCCATATAGAAGCTGTTCGATCGGACTTATGGTAGGTAAAATTGTACTAAATTATATAATCTATCATCAAACTTTTTACCAATATTCGACAATAATTTCTTCAGTATATACTGACGAAATATTTTTATTTTCATCTTTCCACTATAAAATTTTCAGGAGCGAATGGAAAAATACTACCAAGTGTTCACCGACGCCGGCATGACACTACTGCAGCTTGTGGCAGGAGCTTGGGGGGCAGAGAAGGATACACTCACAAAACTGTTCGGGTCAACCCATCTCTCCACCTTCAGGCTCATTCGCTACCCTTCGAGAGGGTCGGACCTGCCTGAGTGTGCCCTCAAAGACGACATCGGTGTGCACTTACTTTGTTTTCGTTGATAATAGATTAGATATACCGACAAATACTTTACCAGTATATTATATCAATCTTGATCTGAGTTGAGCTGTTATGAATTATTATTACTATAAATATCATGCTCTTAATAACATTATTTGAATTGTCTGCTGGGTAGAGGATAAATTAGATTCTTACGTTTCTTGCCAATGCGTTCATTAACATGCAGATCATTGTCACTTTGACGCACATGAGTAAACGGCAAACATATTAGAAACCAACTAACATTAAAAAATACACACTTCCCTTTAAACTTCTCTAACAATAGTTTGGTATGTATATTTTATGCAAACATTTTCATTCTTGAGATAATAGATATCGTATAGTGAAAAACGGTGAGAGATCTGCTTATTATATTGATTTTTCTGTAATACATTAGCGACTATTGATACATCATTCCAATATTGATATTGATCATTGATACGTCAATACTGTAAATACATTAGTTATAAATTCATCCTAAATCAAGAACAGAATGAGCAATTGGATAGCATCAAATAAAAAATACTATTCTTTATTTTTGTCAGTCCTTCAGTGCGATGAACATCAGGACTCCGGTTTTGTGACTATGCTGGAGACGTTCGGGTACCCAGGGCTGCAGCTGCAGACCGCGGAGGGGACCTGGCAAGACGTAGAGTACCGCAAGGGTTCGCTCATCGTCAACATCGGGCTGTTGCTTTCTAAGATTTCTGGTGGGCTTATCAAGGCTACGCACCATCGAGTGGTCGACTGCGGTGCAGAGAGGTATGGTTCAGTGCCTAACTCGGCTAATAATTTAACATACGTTCCTCTTCACGATCACAAAAGGCTCATAAAAAACCTAGCCCAAACATTAACCTTAGATTGTGAAAGAAAGAGTAGTGACTGTGGTCAGTGTGGTGTATTAATGTTCATATATTCAGGTAGCTAACTTCGCAAACGTTCGGTCAGCAACAGGTTCTTTCGAGTACGTTGTCTTTTTTCGGGTGCTAATAGCTAGCAAATCCTGTGCTCTGATGAACTGTGATAAATTAGTATGAATAATATTTCAGATTTTCGGTTCCGTTTTTCCTGGAGCCAAGATTTGACGCAAACGTCAACGTAACACTGACGCCTCCCGCCTGCCTAACCAAGACGAAAGACACCGTGGTGCTCCTGCCGTCTGGTAAACCTTTACCCTACGGATCTTGGCTCCTAAAAAATCTCGTGGGCTTCATTGAGTACAAAAGCCTGGAGAAATACTTGAAGGATGCAGAAAATGTTTAGATAGGTTTAACATCGATTGCGCCCGGCTGCTGAGAACGCCTTGGGTACATAAGCAAGGCTTGCATAGTTAACTATTTTATGTATGGGCAACACTTGCATACGTTGAACTGCAGTTCGGTAGTTCGTGATTCGACATGTGTAAAAGTAACATTTGATATTCAAGACAATGCATAATTAGATTCTATTACACACTTCTGTGTTCGGGCTTTTTCATTTCTGAATAATCTATTTCCACGTCGGTGGTCTGTGAGTTGTCCATACGTTTTGATTTTAATCTATTTCTCATTCTCAAGGTAATATTTATGCCCACGGCCACAGGCTAGCTTCCCAGTAAAAATCGGGCAGTAAATTTTATTAACGTTTCGGAGAATTTGTACGCCTCAGCTTAATAATTGATCACAATTATATATGCTGTGAACCTGATATTCTTTAAAAATCAACAACGCAATATAACAACAATGGCATTGGCAACCTATAAGCTTTTCAATCCTTAGATGTTAATCACGCAGTCTTCACCGCACATTCGCATTGACCGCATTAATTCGTATTTAAACATACCGGTACAGCTCTTTACGCAGGTGGCATGAATGCTTTTAAAACAAAGCGACTTTATTTTATTTCAACTTATTAGTAGGTAGGGTAGCGCAGTACTAGTGCACTCTACGTTATACATATACTATTAGAACGGCTAGTCTTGGCTCAGTGCACAACCTAATCACATTCGAACCCTTCAGAGAAACGAGTTGCGATGTTTTTAGGACCTAGGTAATAACTATACAACTTCGACATATACAATAGTGACGGGTTTCCACTTCACCAGATGAATTGCCATACACTTGGCTTATCAGTTTGTCTTAAAACGATGACTCGTCCTTTAGATTGGAATAGTTTGGAATACGGCATCAGAACTCAAAAGGTCAAGCTTCGTCTCTCTCGTTCATCTAGCCTAGCTCATCGGCCGATTATGATCGGCGCTGCTCAGTCCTAAGCGAGTCAAATTAACTTAAAAGTTAAAATTAACGTTGCCCGCCGACAACGAGTAATGAAGATTTCTACGCTCGGGAACATGTTAAGAGTATTTAGGGGGTACAGAGTATGTAAGCAAGAGAAGATATCATCGCAATCCTTGTTCTAACTGTATCGAAATCTTGCCGTCCACTAACGTTTCATATTCCAAGCATCGCTTTATAGAAACTGGAATTAACTATGGAAAGTGTGTAACGTACTATCATAATAAAATAGAGGTTTCAGCGTATATTAAAAAGCACACAACACAGCCATAGTCACAAGCCAGCTGCTATGAGGCTGAGGAAGCTCTCCTGGGCGCCTTAGGCTGCTACGTCCAGGTCCAGCGTGGCCTGGGGCTGCTACGTCCAGCGTGGCCTGGGGCTGCTACGTCCAGCAAGGCCTGGTGCTGCTACTAACAGCGTGGCCTGGGGCTGATTACAAATATTTGATGTTATGATGTGAAATAGGCATGAAATTTAGTGTGCAAATTTAATAGTCATGAAATTTTTGGTGTCCAAATGGAGCAAATCACTTCTGATTGGCAGAGGATAAAACCATTATCGGATGGCGCCAGGTGTCACTAAAGGCAGGCTGCTCACCACAAAGAACCAGGGCTCGTCCAACAAAGCGATTGACTCGCACGATAAGGATGGCCGCGATTGAAGTCTTTTTGCTCACAAGTATCGCACAGTGCGCTCCCTGGTGGCTTCGGCTATGAGCGTTCGCTATCCCTAAATGTCACCCAAAACTAATAGAAAAAATCACCATCAACATTCTCATTTTAAATGCAATAGAATATCATGTTTTGAGCATGAATTCAGTAATGTAAGTCAAGAAAACATCATTTTCATTAGCTCAACGGCATAAGTAAATCCATAATTGGCAGAAAAAATCACATATGTTTCAGCCTCTCGATAATAAATGAAAGTAATAAGAACGCTAGGTATATAAGGCACGAGTTTTTTTGCAGAGTTCAATACTTAAATGTACTTTAATATACTTTAACATAATATAATACTTGTAGACACACACTATTTCCCTACGTTTTTTGATTACAAATTTTTCATTATTTTGAAATTTTTACACGCCCCTGAATTTATAAGATATAGATACTGATAGATATACGTATAATCTAGCTATAAATTAAGTGATATTCTCTTCAAGTCGCTTAAATTTCTCTTAAGTGTCTTTAGGCCGCTCATTGTCACCTCAAAATTATAATCAATGATCTTTTTAACAATCAATCTAGCATTTTATTTAAAGTTCAATCGAAATGAAACTAAAATAAATAAAGACAATTTTGAACGCGCAGGTAATTTTGAGTAACGCACTATATAGGTACAGTATATGATAAATTTAAATATTTATACAGTTAATTTTGTATGCCACTGCCATTTTAAAAATACTAGTATAGGTTGGCAAAATTTGTTCCTTTAAGCAGGTTTCATTGAAGACCAGAGAGTTCGCTAATTTTATTGACAATTTTCTTATTAGTTTTTCAATAGGTCTAACAATATTTTTCGTTTGCACTGGTAAATCGAAAATCAGCGTTCCGATGGACATTTTTATCTCTTTAACAACGTTTCGAATGCATCAATCATTAATTATCAAGTTATCAACTTCGACAATGTCATGCCATAAGCGGCGGAAGGAGTCAAGGAGAGCAGTGTGTCTTTAATTGTCTTCAGACAAAGGCACTAGCTTCAGTGCCTTCACTAGCTTTCAAAGCACTAGCTTTATCTTCAGACAATGAAAGTAATCATCTTCCATACAGGACACCACTCGCGATAGCTGAGGCCCTCATCATTAAGGATGAGACCCCAGCCATCAACCTTCAAACTACTGGATTTGTCAGAACCTTGAGACTGTTTTCGGAGTGATTTTTGGTGTTAATTCTTGATAATTTCAGCATTTTTGTTATTTTGTAATTATTTCTAACAATTCTGTTTTTTAGCAGTATCCTAAAGTTCGATCGAAATGAAACTAATTACATAAAGATAATTTTGAACGCGCAGGTAATTTTGAGCAACGCACTATATAGTTAACGTATATGATAAATTCAAATATTTATACAGTTAATTTTGTATGCCACTGCCATTTTAAAGATACTAGCATAGGTTGGCAAAATTTGTTCCTTTAAGCAGGTTTCATTGAAGACCAGAGAGTTCGTTAATTTTATTGAAGTATTATTAACCACTGGGCAGGGTGGCCCAGTGTTTAAAGTTCAGAGTACTTGGATTGTCGCAGAGAGGTGCGGGTTTGATCCCAGCTCTGTGCGCCAGTTCCTGATCAGAATCGGCAAGGAGGCCGGGCGCTTAAGCACAGCATAATTGTAGCAGTGAGTTGCGAGTTTGAGACCGCAAAATGCTGTGAACGCCAGTTCCTGATCAGAATCGGCAAGGAGGCCGGGCGCTTAAGCACAGCAGAATTGTAGCAGTGAGTTGCGAGTTTGAGACCGCAAAATAGTGTGAATGTTCTGCGGTGTTAAGAATCGGCGATAGGCCTACGGCATACTAAACGGCGAAACAGCTATTTTTATTATTATTATTGACAAATTTCTTATTAGTTTTTCAATAGATCTAACAATATTTTTCGTTTGCACTGGTAAATCGAAACAGCGTTCCAATGGACATTTTTATCTGTTTAACAACGTTTGGAATGCATCAATCATTAATAATCAAGTTATCACAATTTCAACTTCGACAATGTCATGCCATAAGCTGCGGAAGGAGTCAAGGAGAGCAGTGTGTCTTTAATTGTCTTCAGACAAAGGCACTAGCTTCAGTGCCTTCACTAGCTTTGTCCTCAGAAAATTAAAGTTATCACCTTCCATACAGGACACCACTCGCGATAGCTGAGGCCCTCATCATTAAGGATGAGACCCCAGCCATCAACATTCAATTACTGGATTTGTCAGAACCTTGAGTCTGTTTCGGAGTGATTTTTGGTGTTAATTCTTGATAATTTCAGCATTTTTGTTATTTTGTAATTATTTCTAACAATTCTGTTTTTTAGCAGTATCCTATTTACATGATTTTGTATATATGTCGACTAAAATTTCATCACTCAATGCCCCTTGTAACTTGATAACGAATGATTGATACACTCAAAAAGTCGTCGAAGAAATAAAAATGTCCATCGGTAGGCTGATTTTCGATTTACCAGTGCAAACCAAATATATTGTTCGATATATTGAAAAAGCTAATAAGAAAATTGTCAATAAAACGTTTTCTCTGGTCTTCAATGAAACCTTTTTAAAGATACCTAGATATAAATGAGAAAATTTAGTATAAGCATTAATGAAGGACGTTGCATTATATCCCTGTTTCGCCGCACACGTGGCAGGAGCACTAAATTCGTCGCTCTTCCAATATATTTCGCAAAAACGTATACAATATTTTTTAGAAACAATACGAATAAATATTGTAACGACTTGTACGCCCTAAAATGAGTCCATAAGTGAGAGTTGTTCGTTCACTCTACTATGTTCCATAATGCAAGAAATTTCAATTTACGATATCATATAATTGAGCCGAAGATTGCTATTCACGCGCATGTATATAGTAACAATATTCATCAAGAAAATAATAACTGACACAACTATAGCCCTTTAATTAACCTTGACGACATGCGTCATTAACAAAAATGAAAGCTCGAGCGCATTTATGTATATTATTCGTATATTAAGCATGAAGATGCTACACTATAGAACAAATTTTAAGAAACTAAATCAATGTATACATACATGTATATGGGTGCATTCGAAGCTTAATTGTGTTTCTCAAAAACTCTATTCATGTCAGATATTAGCGGTTTCAGCGTTTAGTAGGCCATAGGTCTGTCGCCGATTCTTAACATCGCAGAACATTCACAGCATTTTGCGGTCTCAAACTCGCAACTCACTGCTACAATTCTGCTGTGCTTAAAACCTGTCTCTTATACACATCTAGATGTGTATAAGAGACAGCCTCCCGACAGTAAACCTTTTGCCAGCATTTTCCGGGTTAGTTTTAGCNAAGGACCGAACGCAATGTGATGTTAATGTAAAATACTGTAATTGTGAAGTGTAATGTAAAAAATTGTTTTCCATGCATTCGGCAAGCAGTTCCGCTGGATCTCACTGTGTGTCCGATAGCATCTTTGTGTTGGGGATATTTCTCGACCTTATTAATAAACAAAATCCTCATAATTAGTTATATGTGCTGTTATTAAGTTATTGAGACCAGCCTCATCAATTACTAATCTTTTCGATCGTATTTATGTGATAACTATATATAGGGCTTTACGTACGCTTCCGGCAGTACTTTATTAAAGTGGTTTGTATCAAACAATTAGTCTGTAAATAGTTTGTGCTGCTAAGCAAATAACACTTTTAATTGATCATTTATAACAGGATTCATATTCTTCACCTCATTTTGGAAGGAGGATGGAGGTTGCTGTATGGCGTTAACCTGGAGAAGAAAAT